ACCCCAACAGACGGAGAGATCGCAGAGGTCGCCTTCGGGTGCTCACCCCAACAGACGGAGAGATCGCAGAGGTCGCCTTCGGGTGCTCACCCCAACAGACGGAGAGATCGCAGAGGTCGCCTTCGGGTGCTCACCCCAACAGACGGAGAGATCGCAGAGGTCGCCTTCGGGTGCTCACCCCAACAGACGGAGAGATCGCAGAGGTTGCCTTTGGGTGCTCACCCCAAAGGGAAGAGAGGTCACCTTCGGGTTCTCACCCCAACAAGCGAAGAGGTCGCCTTGGGGTGCTTACCCCCACAGGCGCGGTCAGGTCTGGTCTCAGCTCCTCTTGATTGGCGTATCATCATCCTGCAAGAAGTTTAATTTCAGGACCTTTCATGTTCTTTGAAATCTACTTTTGCTACTAAGTAATAAAAGCACTGATTCAACAATAGACTTTTAAAGCATAAAACGATTCAATTAAACTTTATTACCTTTGCAGAAGGAGATTTCTTCAATGCATCAACCTCCCTTGTCAATGCATCAATCCTTTGCTCCATGTCCTTCATTCTTTTCAAGTTGACCTCATGTCCCTCCAACCAGCGGAGGAACAGTTTGTTGAGCTGAAGACGTACATCAAACATTGATTCATCAATCCTGCGGGCACTCTCCTGATGGGCATGGGTAGCTATGCTCTGAAAGCCCTCACGCTTCACCTTCTCCGCTTCAAGCTTCACGGCGAGAGTGTTATTCTGCTCAACAAGCTTCTTATTCACTCCACCCTCAACAGTCTCAATGACCCAGTATCCAACTGCCGAAACCACAGTTGCATAGGTGGTGACTGATGCCATGAACGGGGTGGACCGAAGAACAGCTTTGTACAGCCTCTGGCCAGTCTCCTTAGCAATTGAAGTAATCCTAAATAAAGAGTAAAGAATCACGACTAGTAACAACGAGGTACCACATACTTGTAATCGCGTCAAGGACCGGAAGAGGACCGGATCAGTGCATATGGCACTATATCACGTGACACGGTGAATCTAACTAAACTATATGCATAGATATGGAAACACAGGAAATCAAGGAAGGGCGAGTTTTTACCCTGCAGACGAAGCAGAATAGCCACGGGCAGGGAGGGTTATCACCGGGCGACGAACTGGGGCGGCGACAGCAAGGGTACCACCCTGCGCACCGTGGACGGCTCCGGCTGTGGCCAGCCGGCGTGAGACCGAGCGGATCGCCGCAGACATCTCGCCTCACGCTTGACGCAGATCGGAATCGGGAGGAGTGGAGGGGGAGGAGGCGGCGGCGGCGGCGGCGGCGATGTGGTAGGGTTAGGGTGAAAGGGGTAGTCACGGTGATGGTGGGTTTTTTTTATAGATCGGGGAGGCCGTGAAGGCAGGCGGTGGCTGCGGCTATACCTGGCCAAACGGGCCGGTTTTTTCGGGCCGGCACGTTAGCCCGCATGCCTGGCCCGTCACGGGCCGGCCCGGCACGAGGCATAGTGGGCCGTGCCTGGCACGTGGCCCGGCTTGGGCCGTGCCTGGGCTGCCTTGCCCGGCACGGCACGGCTAGCAATCGATCGGCGCGAGTCCAGCGACAGCGAGCGAGCATATAAAAAAAAAGAAAAAGGAGCGAGGGGAGCGTCCAGCGAGGCAGCGATGGAGCCGTTGAAATAATAAACGTATCTAAACCTACTGCCATCGTGCTAGTGCTACTGCACAGCAAACAAAACGTCCATCAGTGCATGCATGCAGCCCTGCATGGCTGCATCGACGTGCCTCCTGGGCGCTGCGCGCCTGCGCACGGTCAAGGGGTCAAACCTGGCCAGCGGGCAGAGGCAGTACCTTTTTTTTAGCAAAATTTTTTTGAGGTGCATTTTTTAGCAAATCGGGCGGGCGTGCCTCGATGGGCTGTGCGTGCCGGGCCAGCGTGCCGACCCATATAGCCGAGGGGCCGTGCCTGGGCCACGATGCTCAACACGCGTGCCTGGCCCGTTTACCCCAGGCCGGGCCGGCCCATTTGGCCAGGTATAGCTGCGGCTGTAGTTCCCAGATCCCGCCAGGGGCATAGATGGGATTTCGCTTAGGCTGGCGCCACGTGGCCTTTTTCAATTCGCTGTTCTCTCCCCGAGGAGACGGGTAGGGTTTGGTCTCGCTCTTCTCACTTCTCTCTCGAAACACCGCCGCCCCCAGCCACCCCAGTCCCCAGTCTCCTCCCCTCCCGTCGGCCACACTCCCCGCCAGTCGTCCTCTTGCATCTCCCGGGCGCCGCCACCGCCGCCGCGAACGTCGCTGCTCCCCGTCGAGCTCGCGCGCCTCCATCGCCAGGAGGAACGGAGGCTGCTGCTTCCGCAGCTGCTCGGCCGTCTCTCCCTCGGCGTCGAGCGGCTCATGGCGGCACCGTTTCTGTTGTCCAACACGTGCTCTCCTTGACGCGACATCGACGCTTCCCCTCTACGTCACGCGGTGGCCATGGTCGGAGCTTTGCCGCCTCCAACTTCGGCGCCCGTCTCCACTCCGTCTAGGTTGACCTCTCTCTTTCTTTCTGCAACCATGGTGGTTCTCTGGATTAAGAATGTCGAAGCCCTCAATATCGATAGGCTTGTGCAGGTTATTTCAAAAGAGGCAGTGATTGCTACATTCAAAAGGAAAGGTATCTGATCCTAAAAAAAACAGGAACTGTATCTGTTGAAGGGGTGAGGTATGTCACATTTTACTGATACACACAACCTGTCTTAAACTTCCTGGTGGCAGTATATTATTTGATGTTATATATGCTTATTTATATTCTGATTGCTGTATTGGTTATGCTTAAGGAAATATATTTTGAACATTTGTAGGTTCTAAATGTATTGTAGCAAATTTGGACTACTTCCTGAGTATCATAAACAAACGTGATGGTCCAGATCTATAGAAAGTTCTGAAAGTAAGCACTGGAAAACATCTTTTTGTGCAATGCCCATATAAATGAAAATGGTCTATCTCCACTGCTCATGCCTGATATTCATTCCTAATAGTATGCTTATTCTTTCAGGCTTAAGCTGCTTATAAGATAGCCCTCCTGTAATGCCATCTGGACAGAGTGTCAAGAAACAATATTAACAGGTACTCCCTTTGTAAACTTATATAAGTAGTAGTCTAAAAGCTCTTATATTAGTTTACAGAGGGAGTACTAGGTACTGTAAATTATAAATTTCTTGGATTTTAATTGCAACAAAAGAAATTGCCTAAGTTGATCTATTTTATCAACCGGTAGTTAGGTGGAGCAAAGTTATTATTATTTTGATAGAGAAGATGGAAATTAAGGTGGTACAGATCTTGGGGCATTATCTTACTTGCTATTGGTCCAGTCCTTGCTTGATCATGTTTCTTCTAATATTAATGATGACAACATCTGAAATAAATCTGTAAATAAATGTGAATTAACACTATTTTCATTTCATACAGCCTGAGATAAACATATGCTTAACTGAATAATTGTTCTTCCATATGTTTTTTCTCATAAACCTCCATGTTGTGCGCGCGCACTGGTGGCGCCAAGTTTAGTTGTCTGGTATGCGACACATGATATTTTCAGCAACTATGGTGGTTCAGTTTGGTACTCTACTGCATGTTTGCTATGGCTTTATTCGTGAAGTTTGTTTACGCATGTGTTCATGTCATATCTGGAATTAGCAGTGCCATGGCGATATAGGCGCATCTATATTGCTTTTAGTCAAGCTATTACCTTGATGTTAAAATTTTCATGTACCAATTCATGCTAAGCTCTGCATTCTATTTTCTCTTGCCAAGGCTCCTGCTGTTACTATTGATGTAGGCTATAACAGTTGAAGTTATTATGATCTGTTTGCTGCATCCCTACAGATATTATTCTTCCACAAAATGCTGCGTTCTAGATCGTTGGGGCTTTGGGGGGCGTTGGTTGGCCCATTTCTAAGTGGATGTATCACTGCCAGTAGGCCCACTATGGGCGGTTGTGTTCGGTCTTTGTTGGCCTTGCTCTCTCGCATGGCTGCACAACACCCCCTCATGTACCTCTCATTACCTCCTTCACTTCCTAGTGCTCGTGCTAGGGTTTCTGGCCTGCCACCAGCGCTCGTCCGCCTCCGTGCTGTTGTCGTTGATCTCCTCCCTCGTGCTACCTCCTGCTTCTCCGTTGTCGCCACGCTCTTCTCAGCCTGCTGGCGCCATGGCCGCCCTTGCTCCTATTCGCACGCCGTCGTTGGGGCTGCCCTTGTTCCTATCCAAGAATGAGTTGCTTCGGTGCCACATTTTCATGGTGGATGAAATAGTGGGTGCCTGTTAATATATGGTTAAATTGAGCTTGGCAGTTTGTACTGAAGATGGTTGGTTTGCATTTTTGCTTTTTGTGCATGTGGTTTCTGGTCTATAGGCCCCAGTGCTCTGTTATTTTAGATGGGGTGAGCAGGGACCTTTTCCCCTTTCGTTGTTTAGAATAAAAGGGAAATTCTGTGGTAATGATTACATGAAGTAATACAAGTTTTCTTTTGGCATCAATTAGTGCTACATAAGTGAATGCTATGATGAGATCTGTACGACCAGTATTTTCTTCTTCGATTCTTGGTTTGGTGTCCCTGATCGAACTTCCTTCGTAATTTCATACATTTGAACCAGTTGCAAGATTTAGTGCCCTGTATGTTGGTTCCATGGTGAAAACAGACAATCCTTGGGGTGTTTTCACTGAAGTTTTTGGATGCAGGTTACACATGGTTTCAGTACACCAGTAGCAGCTGCTGTTTTCTTAATGTAGAAACATGTTATTTCACTGCTATGAAAAAAGGCTATTGTGTTTTGTACAGATATTTCTATGTTTAGTAATTAGTAAAGAGTTATGGACATCTATTAAACCAATATTTTCTTCCTTCCAAATGTGTACACTTATTGCTAACAACCTAGCCTACACTCTCGGACTAGCTTCAAAAGAATCTTGTTTTACATTTACCATATAGTGGATGAAATTAGTTGTTCACCATGGCACTCCATCGTTGTTCGTACCCCGACGAAGCAATGGATATCTTAGAAAAAAGTAAAGATTGGTCTTTGCTTTTGACTTGGTGTTTTTAATATTTTGTATGTCTTTCTGTTTTGGTGATTGTCCTACGATGTTCATTGGAAGTTGGGTTTTGTGATAACTCTTTTTTGAAACTCGGATGCAGGGTTGCTCCATGCAAGGTTCCATACCCGGAGCACATTTAGAGAAGTTTACGGTACATGATTATTTACCTGGAATTTTTGGAGATCAAGGCGGCGAAATACTCTTTTTGTGATGTGGACCATCGTCTTGTGGCCTGGTGAATGATATAGACATACAGAGATTCACCCCATGCCTGGAAGTAAGTTGCCGCTGTATTTACAGAATTATTTAGTTCTAGAGTATACTGAAAACATGTTGTATAGATTGTCTTTTTATTGCGCTTCATTGGCACTGCTGGTCTACCAGTTTTTACATGAATATTAGGCCTTCCCTATATCTATAGATGCGATTAGTATAGTAAGACATGTATCACATGTTGTCACTGTGGATGTGAAAGGACATCCAACTCGAAGAGAACCTTGAGACTTATACCAATACAATGCCCCACTTCCTTTACTCTGTGATGAACATAGTTTTCAGATTTATTTGTGCATGGTGGAATGTCTGAATTTTCTGCATGCCGGTAGCTTCAGTTCTAACTGTTTTTTTTATTCCAGGGAGACAATTACAGTGGCTCTTTGGAGTGAAACTGCTGAAGCTTTTGATGCAGACAAACTAATACAAAGGTTGTGGTTGCTCTGGTTGTAGGCTGCACATACAAAAAAATTGTAATGCTATCTCTCCTTTCGCTGTCTCTTCCTGTACAAGCTTTTTTCTGTCATGATGGTACATCTCTTATACTAACAGTTTGCTTTTGTAATTTTTATTGCAGCTAGTCTAAAACCTTTCAGCAAGTTATGGTATGAGGTTTGTATTAACACGGATGATCCAGAGATCTTTGCCCTTCATCACAGATTGATTTCGCCTTGGATTAGCATGTGGTGTTGCATGTTTATACGATATGCGTGTTAATCAACTGTTGGCATGACATATAGGCTGCAAGGTTCTCCACTGCCTATTTAACTTGCGAGCAAGAGAGGACGGTGATTTGAGCCCAGTGAAGTTGATATGGCTACTGTGCGAATCTGTCCGACTGTAAGTCCATATATGGCCATAATGAATATACATAAACTTGCTCAAATTTAAGTAGGCA